CCCGGGACAAGCTGGTGACCAAAGACGGAGCTGAGCACAGGGACACAGGCACACACCCCCTGGCCCGCAGCTGATGCCTCAGCCCACCTCTGGGTGCCCGCACCTCTGACCCTTGTCCTCACTTGTACCCAGAATTTGAGGAACACAGCACACTCCTCCCTCGCTCCAGACCTCACCGCCTGAGAGCGTGACCTGAGGTTTCCCTCTTCTCCCCTGAATCCCTAAACGAACTCACACCTTCTATTTGTCCCCTTCTAGATCCTCTCTGCTACCGGTCACATTTATATAACATTCTTAGCCTTAACTTATTACCAGTTTTGGACTGAGAGCTCCGTGAGGATAGCAAGCCTCTCACACCAATGTCCCTGATTCCAGAAGGACTGGCGCCCTGCCCCCGGCCTTCGTCTGAATCACCTCTGCTCCTGCCTGAGCAGTGTCCTCACGTAGCTTTCCTTGAAAGTGGCTCACCCCCTGAAACATGTCTCTAGGCCTCTTCCTTCCTACCTAGGCTCCCTGACAGCCAAACAGAGCAATACCACCCTCTCCCGAGCCAAACAGTCCCCTACTGACCTGGTCAGGCCCACCGGGAGAGCCAACCGTGACGCACAGACAAAGGGAAGAAAAGCCCGTCGTTAGCGTGGTTGGGGGCTCCACTGCCGGAGGCCAGGAGGCACGCTCAGAGGGCCTTAGTAAAGAGCTTCTATATGGAAAAATAAACACTTTTCAGGGGCAGGGAAGAACTTCCACCAGCATATGCCATCACCATCCCTGAAAACCAAGCAGCGGCAGGAGGAGACGTCCTTCCTGAGACCAGACAGGACATGAGGCTAGGGAGCCAGCCCCCTGCAGAAGCTGCAGGACAGAGGAACACACACTCCCACAACGTGCTTGGTTGATTTTCTGGCTGCACAACATTTCCCTTCTCCTGGCAGCTCCAACAACATCATGTTTACCTCCTGGGTGCTGTGAGTGGGCCCAGGTCACTCACTGGGTGCTCTGCTCAGAGGCTCTGGCAGCTGCAATGAAGGGACAGTGGAGACTGAGGTCACCTCCAGGCACAACCACAAGCTCAGGAACAGGGTTGTGGGAGGATCCAGGTCACTGTAGGCTGCCAGGATGGGGACCCTCTCACCGCAGGGCAGGCCCGCCTAGTCCTTCCTGTCTGGCCCTCTCCACAGAGCACCTCATAACAGCGGAGGAAACACACTATGAGATCCCCCCAAGTGAGAGAGACACAGTGTGTGTGTGTGTATGTGTGTGTGTGTGTGTGCGTGTGTGTATGCAAGACAGAAGTCACATTCTTTCATGATCTCTTCATAATCTCAGACAGGCATCACTTTCACCATTTTCTATGGGTCAGAAGCAAACTACTAGGTCACCTCACGTTTCAGCAGAGGGAATTCTATAGGGACATGAAAGCCAGGAGGGGGAATCAGTTCAGATCATTGGGCACCATCTGAGCATCTACAGACCACACGGGCCAAGCTGGAGGGAGCAGGAGGAACAGGGGCCTCCCGCTCTGTCTTGCCATCGGGTCACGTCTCACCACGCGCCCACAGGCCGGTCAGGACTAGGAGCTGGAGCACAAGGGAGTCAGGTGCTTGATCCGCAAAGGTCATCCTCAGACCATGCAGGGATGGAAGGAAACACAGGGGCGCAGAGAATGGACAGCAGGTAGTCAGGACTGAGGAATGACAAGACTAGCAATAGACAATCGTGGAATCATATTCCCTGGAAGACAAGACACCACAGAGGACAAGCCGCTCACTCAGACCATGGAGTGGCCTCTTTCCTTTCATATTCCTGCCCAGTTCAAACAAAGGACCCATATTTAGAGCAACAGTGAGCTTGAGCATTTCTGCTCCTCACCACCGGCTGTCACTGCCCGCCAGGCTCATCCCTGAGGCTGGGGAGGGCACGGCAGAGGGAGAGGGCTGAGCAGGGACATCAGCCCTTGTTCTGACAGCTCTAGTGTTAAAATTGAAACACTAAAAATTCTAAATATCGCTTAAAATAAATGTGCATAAATCATTTTTGCTCAAGTTGCCTTTTGTACTGAGCCCTGGAGACTATTAGGATCACATCTACTCTCCCTAGGTCCACACACAGAAACCCTCCCGCAGACTCCCCCCGGCCCCATGAAGCACAAAGACCTGAGGAACTCCGTTCCTGTGTGGCCTCCCAGGAAAGGACTTCTTACTCGGGACAAATCTTCAAGTCCCTGAAATGAGCTCTGAGGAGGCCGAGGTGAGAGGCAGGCATGCGATCTCCTAGGCCCCTCACCTCCGGGAAAAGCACCAAGGCAGAAAATTCTACCAATACCCTCCAGAGACACATTCCAAAATCCTTCAACAAAAGTCCCTCTGCTTCCTGACCCCGAGAGCCCAAAGATAGGAACCCAAAGGGCAAGTGGGGTGGGGAAGGAGGAACAAGGAAAGGGAATGCTGAAGGGCAGAGGTGAAGCCCCCGACAGGCCCAGTCCTCGGCCAGCCCGAGCACGCCCTGTGGACTTATCAGGAGACCTCAGGGGAAGAGGGCAGAGGGCACAAGGTCACTCGTGTCAACGTGGTTCCTATTGGCCCTTGATCTCCTTAAAAGGGGCCCAGTGGTCAGCCTGGACAGTATCCTGGACCCTCTGCGGATTCTCTGGCTGCGTCACACCATCCCTCAGCATGAGAGTCCTCGCTCTGCTGTTCCTGGCGGCTCTGGCTGGCACCCTGGTTCTGGCTGGTGAGTGTGGCCTTCCCTGCACCCCCCGCTCTTCCATCTCGCCTGAGCTCTGCCCTCCCCTCTCCCTCCCCCTGTGCCCTTCTGCTCCCTCTACCTCCCCCAGCTTCTGCCCTGGCTCCTGCTCCTGCACATCTTGCCTCCTCACCCCACTGAACAGGAGGGACCCCTGCCTCTCAGGCTGTCCGAGCTCCCCTCCACACAGCACCTCTCACCATGGCTGCAGCCTCGCGGCTCCCTCAGGAGCTCTGGGCCCCCGGGCACTCGGGCCATGTTCCCTCCAGGCAGCAGCGGGGGCTGCAGAAGGACACAGTCTGGGACCCACAGGCCAGGCCCAGCGCAGCCTGTGGCGGAGACTCTCGGGCCCTTCCTGCAGCACAAGGCGCTGCTCCCCTCACATCAATGTTTCCTTATTATTCTTCCATCTGCAAAGAGCTTTTCCTTCCCCTTTCCTCTTCCCCCACCAGCATGGGGTGCCCTAGTCAGTGGGTTCACATCTGTCATTTCTCAGCTTAGCTATTGATGAGCCAAAGAGCATTGCATGCACTTGTAACAGAACCACTGAGACCTTGGTTTCTCTTTGCAAACAGTCACTGTGCTTTTGCTCGCAGCTCTCAGGGCAGGTTCTTCAGCGCTGAAGTGCCTGATTAGAGAGAGCTTTGCATAAATGTGTTGAACAATAAAGGGAATGAGGGCTGAGGCCCTGTCCCAGAACCTCCCTGGCCTGGCCCCCGGGCTGCGGTGTCCTGCACAGGTGGAGCTGCACCCTCTGGCCATGGCGCTGGCCCAGACAGGGACCTCAGGCACCTCCCAGGCCGCAGCCAGCAGGGAGGAGAGTTTGCAGGGAGAGCAAACACACTGCTCAGAGCAGCCCCTGCAGGAGGACTTCCAGTTCATCAGCAGAGAGAACAGCTGCTGGAAGTCATGATGAGGCCCAGGGGGGGACGCGTCCCCAAGCCTGTTGTTACCCTGTCAACGAGGATGGAGGATGAGGGGTGGGGGCTGAGGGGGCGCAGGGTCAGTCCTCACTGTGTGTCTCATCTTTTGCAGAAGATGCCACTTCTGATGCCAGACGGAGAGGCAAACTCAAGATTCAGGCTTCCTGTAAGTCTCTCCCTCCCACCCTTGCCTTCAGCATGAGGGATAAACAAATGGGGATGTCATGGCAGGGGGCGAGCACTCTCGGGCTGTGGACTTGGGCCTGGCTCTTGGTGACATGGAGGGGGCAGGGATTGGGATGGGACAAGCCTCAGAACAAACATGGGAACCAGACAGTGGGGAGAAAGGTGAAAGGTTTGTTAAGAATGACAGGACAACAGATGAGATTAGGGATAAGGACATGGTCTATACAGTATGAATTCCTTCACCCTCCAGCACCTCCCTTGGCTCCCACCCCATATCACGATACCTTCTATCCAGTCTCTCCCTCATTTTCCAAGCCACTTCCCAAGACTTCCTCATGAGCAACCCATGGCAGCTAAACTGAGCCTAATTGCACGGCCCACACTGCGATCCTGCTCACTTGTTTCTTTTCCCTAAGGAAGCCCCTTCAGCATCTTCCCTCCTGACCCCTGCCTTCAAGGCCCAGCTTCTCTCTCAAAAGCTGCCTGTTTCTCCCCATACCCGGGGCCACACCCTCCACAACCTTCCTATGAGAGGCCCCTGCCCTGCCCTCTTCCCAGAGACACCGTCAGTCCATGCAGGCCGCTACAACAGCCACCATGGCTTAGACTACGGAAATCTATTGTCACAGCTATGGACGCTGGAGTCTGAGGTCAGGGAGTCAGCGTGGTTGGGACGGGGGAGGACCCTCCTCTAGGCTGCAGACGCCAACCTCTTGTAGCCCCACTTGGCTGAAAGACCAGCAGAGGGATCTCTCTGCTTTCCGTTTCGAAGGGCCCTAATTCCATCCATGGGTGCCCCACCCAATGACCTGAGCTCCCATACTCCCACTTCCTCACGCTATCACTCTGGGGTTATACGGTCCACATAGGAATTGGGGCGTCAACAGATGTGTGTCCGCACAGCTGGTACAGATCTTATCTCTGCTACTAGGGAAAGGTTTGTGCCGTGTCTCCTCTGTATGTTGCCACCCCGCACCTATCAGATATTTTATTGCTCTCGAATTATTTCAAAGAGAACAAAAAAAACTGCTAAAATCAACAAATTGATGTGATTGTAGATGATCCTGCTGAGGATTTCCACAGTGGAATGAAACTTGTTCTACCCCAGGAGCCAAAAAACATTGACGCGAGGGCTGCTATGGCGAATAACCAGGTTATTGAAGCCTCCCCCAGGGGAATATTGGGTAAGTGTGCCTCCAGGCGAGCAGCAGCCCAGGGAAGTCTCTGGCTCCAGGCCTCCTCCGGGCCTTCTCCCTCAGAGAGAAGTCAGGGGTGAAGGGAGCCTTTGTGTTCACTCATCTGAACACAGAACAACCACTAGGGGCCCTTACTGCTCCCACATACAGACTTTCTCAAAAGTCAATTTTGCTGCCTTCGCCATACGTGATTTCCTCTCCGGTCCAGCTGCCTTCCTATGACAGAGAAGCGAGCCAGCTCGGAAAACCTTCTCAAACTTGGAATTGGGTACCAGAAGTATATCTGGGGGAGGGCGTAGGTGACATAGCGATATTAGATCCCTTTTAGGCTATTGATATCACTCTCTTCCAAAATTAGATTTCCTGAGCAGTATCAGAGACATTGTTGCAAACCTACTTGGACTGCAGAAAAAAGAATAAAATAAAAGTGAGTACCAAAGAGGCAAAGCCTTTTAGGAACGGTAATACTCCGCACACACTGGCAGGGTGGGGGCTGGGCAAGATGGCCTCAACACCCTCACCCCCACAGGAGCCTGGGCCTGCCCCAGCATTCTCAAGCAGCACCCCTCCCTGCTGAGCTTCCCCACTTGTGCCTGCAAATGTCTCTGATCTCTAAACCTTCCCCCTCCATTCCTCCCGCCCCCGCTCTCCGAGGTCTGCTGCCAGATGGCTTCTGGGGTCTAAGCCCCCGGTGGCCCCCTGTGACCCTGCCTGTTTCTGTCCTTCATGCCGCTCTAAGGTGGGGCAGGAGGTTAAGTTTCCAGGCTCCTGGTGAGTCTAACCTTCATCCTCTATGCCCACGAAGCTCCTCCACTACAAGAGCATAAACCTGAAGCTGACGGGGGACAGTATGGAGCAGCGTGCGCCCTTCAAGACCCATCCCACGCCCACTTTCCTCTCTACAGACTGAAATTGGACAGGACTGCAGACACTCCGGCACTAGCATCCTGGTTCTGGATGAAATGAGATCTCCACACTTAAACCTCATTCCCTCAATTGAGCTAAAGCAATAAAATTGACTGTATTCACCTTACCATGTGCCTGTGCTCTGTGGGCTGGGACCTAAAATGGGGGGCTGGCAGAGGGGAGAACCCTCGCAGGAGGGACACCAGGCAGGGGATGACCTAGCCAGGCCCTGCGCCAGCCACAGTCTGCCTGGGGGATGCAGCCTCCAGACAATCATTTAATCACTTGAGCCACAGTCACGTGTGCTGAGCTTCTCCTGCCCCAAACTGCAGTCCAGCTCTGCTTGGCCCCTGATTCCTCACACGGGATCCTTAGCAACACTTACCCATGTCCAAACGCTAAATCATCCTACACAGCACCAGAATTTCTCATCCTGAAAATACTCAGTCTGAGCATTTGGTGTTAAAAGCACATTTGGTGTTAGAAGGCCCTTTACTGAAACAAGGGCCTTCTGCCCTCCCGCCACGCTCCTGTGCTGCCCCAAGGGCAGTGGCTACTCAGATCAGATCAGTAAAATGAGCCATTGCAGGGACAATTGGCCTTGACTAAAACCAACTGAATTCATATCATTTTCATCGGAGTATCCTGCATCAGTGTTTCCCGACAGGATCCCCACAGCACTTTGCACAAAGGAGTTGGGGAAGCAACACTCAAGTTAGAGCATGGAGAACAGTCAGCTCTCCTGCCCGTCCTCTCTCCTGGCCACCAAAGGGGTCTGCTCCTGACACCCCCACCGTCATTGAACCCTGGCTTTCCTCCCCATTCCATTCCATTCCCTCCCATTCTGCCCTGGGGTGGGGACACTCAAACCACACTCTGTTTACGGGAATGAAGGAGTACCCCCTCCTGCTCGCTCCTTCCCAACACACCCCATCCATGTCCAGGGACACTGCCCAGGAAACATGGAGACCTGCAGGGAAAGGCCCCTCTGAGCACAGGCCATTGTCAACGCTGGCTAAACAGAGTATTTCACTCCCCAGGGGATGCCACCTGTTATGGTTGAATTGTGCCCCTCAAAAAGACACATTGAAGTCCTAGGCCCCATTACTTCAGAATATGACCTTATCTGAATATTGGATCATGCAGATGGAGTTATGTAAGGTCACATTGGAGTAGAATGGGCTCCTAACCCAAAATACCTGCTCCCCTTACAGGAAGAGAGAAATTTGGGCACAGAAACACAGAGATCAAACATTGTATTAATCCATACAAGACAACATAACCCTTGTTTCTCACAGCTTGCATGGCCTACCCTGCATACTCTTCATCTTGAGCTTAATATTAAAATGACCCATGACCTGCAACCACTCTACTTGCTGAACCTTGTGACACTGTGACATGTGGCAGTGGAAGAAGAGACTGCAGAGATGCATCTGTAAGTCCAGGACTGTCTGCAAACAGCAAAAGACAGAGGGAAGCACACAAGAGAATTCTGGCGGTTTTCATAGGGAACCAGCCCTGATAATACCTTGATTTTGGAATTGTAATGTAAGAAATATAAGAAAATAAACTTGGGCTATTTTAATCATCACGGTTCAAGATACTTCATTTGACAATCCTGGGAAACTAATACATATACACCCACAACCAAACTATTCTCTCATTAGGATTCTCCTACGCACAGTTTATGTGGGCTCAGGAACTGCAAAGTCCCCTTAATTTTTTCCCACTTTTATTGAAACGTAACTGCCTTATAACAGTGCTAGAGGAGTGGAAATACTGGATGAGCCCCCAGGAGAGTGAGGAGACAAGGTCTACTACATTCCTGAAGATCTGAAGTGTAGTAAGAGAGCGGGCAGAGGTGGGGAGGGCCTGAGGGGCTGGAGAATCCAGCTGCGGGACAGCACAGGGCATAGGTGTGCAAGCACCTGTGATTCTCTATCTTTCTGCCCATCGGTCTGTCCTGGAGCTAATCTTGCGTTTTCTGATGTTTGGTCCTTTCTCCCAAGGCACCTGCACACACATCCCCCATGCGGCCCTGCAACTCTTTCATTTTTTCTTTGCAAACTTTATTTATATCAATAGCCTTAGCTAATGATTTGTGCTGAGATATCATTCCTTTAAACTTTAGATTAGCATTCTGCTATTAAAATTTTGCAATGAAACTTTTGTCCAACATTTTGACTTTCTTTCTGGGGTACCTTTCTTTACCTGTAGCTTTTCTAGTTATTTCTACAAAGGGACAGTCTCACCATAACCTCAATACCACCATTTCAACCAGGATTAGCATTGGTGACACTATTGGCATCTCATTTCCATTTACCCCAGGCCTCATTTAAATGTTGCCAGTTGTCCTCATCTCATACTGTACCGATGGAAAGAGAGGCCAAGCCATAACAGGCATAGCAGCTAGCTGATAAAGTCTCCCAGACTATCACTGATGTCAAGCATTTCCACTTCTGAAAACTACAGGACAGTCCTATAGAAGAGCCCCCAATCTGGGTTCCCCTTATGCATCCTAATGAGTAGACTCGGGTTCAGCATTTGGGGCAGGAACGTCAAGAAGTGACATGTTCTTCCCACTGCAGACTATAGAGTGATAACAAAGTTTTGATGTGTCCCATTATTGGGATGTTAACACTCATCACTGATGAACATGATATCTTCCTGGGTCTCCACTGTGGAGTTACTCATTTTCCTCTTTGTAATTAGCAAATATTTTTGGAAGGTACTTTGAGACTATACAAATACCCTGTTTGTCTTCTTACTTGCTCCTCATTGGCATTTACTGATGCTTCTTGGCTGAATTCTTTATTACTTTGATGACTACAGATACTGATTTTCTAGCCAACCATCTCTGCTTCATTCATGAGCTGCCATTCTGCTGAAAGGAAAACCTCCAGGGCTCCCTTTTATTTATTCTTGGACTTACAACAATATGGACTCTGACTATTTAGTAAATGAATTAAAATACAGTGCATGTCCAGAGTTTTGCTTTGCCAGCTGTGTCTTTCACCTGTCACTATGGACACTGTGCCAGCCTCTTCTTCCCTCAGTATGGCTTAAGTTTCACTGGACTTACAGATGTTCCTCATAGAACGTTTGATTTGCAGTTTCAGCGTTAAGACATTGCTAGAGTAACTCCACTGTTCCTCCTCACATTTGGGTTGGTGTTATTGTTTTTCACTGCTAATTTGTGTACAATTGATTTAGAATATCATTCATATCTTAAATTAAAATTGCCAACTCCCCTATGGCAGGAAAACACTACAAACCCAGAAATGAACCTACTTTAAAAAACTATTTTTGCCCGCATTTGGTTAAGTGGGGGTTGAGGCTTAGCCTAACCTTCCACCTAGATAGACATGCTGTCTGCACGCAGAGTAATTGGTCCCATAGATACCACCCATGGCCAGGGCTGCATCCCATGCACAGGGAGAGCCTGGATGTAGAAGGAGGCCCAAGACTGTAGGAGACACCAAAGGGAGAGCAGCAAACAATACTTTCAATTGTTTCCCAAGTCAAACTTACCTCTGTCTCTTTATTTTTCCTGTTTTAAGTAATCAATGGGTTTCAGAGTTAAGGCATTGCTAGAGTAACTCTACTGTTCCTCCTCACATTTGGGCTGGTGTTATTGTTTTTCACTGCTAATTTGTGTACAATTGATTTAGAGTATCATTCATCTCTTCAATTAAAATTGCCAACCCCCCTATGGCAGGAAAACAACTACAAACCCAGAAATGAACCTACTTTAAAAAATATTTTTGTCCGCATTTGGTTGAGTGGGAGGTTGAGGCTTAGCCTAACCTTCCGCCTAGATAGACATGCTGTCTGCACGCAGAGTAATCAGTCCCATAGATAGTGCCCCAAGGTCCTTCTCTGTCCCCTCCCCCCTTTCCATGTTGGAGTAAACAGAACCACACTGGTGACTTCCGAGACCCGGCACTTCGCTGGACATATATGGATACAGAGAAGACACCCAGGATGCACCTTGCAAACTGCAGGGGCTGGGGTGCAGGGTGAGGATACCGGGCTTGAGCCTGGGGATGTAACAGCTGGAGCCTGAATGGTGGCACAACAGGGCGTATCACCTGTGTCTCTGGGTAGAAACTACCATTCAGAATGGAGGACGGGTCATTCAAAACGCCTGCCACTCCAGGGCTAAAACCAAAGCAACAAATGATTATTTGCATAAACTAGAATTCAAGCACAGGGTAAACACACAGGATAAGGTTCTGTGCCAGAAAAGAAAGAGAACAGCTCTCAGCCTGTGACCCTACGTCAACTTCCACTCATGGCCAGGGCTGCATCCCATGCGCAGAGAGAGCCTTGATGTAGAAGGAGGCCCAGGACTGTAGGAGACACCAAAGGGAGAGCAGCCGAGAGGACTGGGTCAGCGTGGAACCCACCACACAGGTCTGACCCCACCTCACTGTCGGAAGCCAAGTCCCTGCGGCCCACTGGAGGGGACCCTCTGGGGCTCAGGCCTTTTTTATTCCTTCTACCCCAGAAAGTACCATTCTCTGATTAGCTCAATGGGTGCAAACCAACAGCCTGAAAATCTATCCTGATTGCAACCCATAAAAACTAAAAAGAAGACAGGAAAACATACTAGAAATGCTGGCACCGAAAAACCCTGAGGGAGGTTTCAATGCAGCAGGAATGTAGAAGATAGCGCAAGGTAACAGTTACAGCAACACAGTCGGTCTCAAAATAATGGCCGAGGCTAGAAAAGAGGGAAAGAAAAGACAAGGAGTCCAGGTGGACTCCCAAGTGGACTCGCACAGGGACCAAGGTGAAAGCAACATGGAGATGAGACAGAGCCTGGGGAGGGCCAGCAGGACTTGTGGGTCAGCCACAGGCCTCAGGCAAAGGACTCTCATAGATATTACTCAGTTTGTGTCTTGGGTGTGTGATGATTACTTGCAAAGAATCTGTGTCACTGCCCGTCTCCAATTTCTGGACAGGACATAATGCATAGACAAAGGGAAGAAAAGCCTGTCGTTCAGCGTTGTTGGGGGCTCCACTGCCGGAGGCCAGGAGGCACGTTCAGAGGGGCTTAGCAAAGAGCTTCTATATGGAAAAATAAACACTTTTCAGGGGCAGGGAAGAACTTC